AATAGGCTAGCCGTTGAGTGGCTGTTGGCGGGGCTCGAGAGGGGTCACAGGGCACAACTGTTAGCAATCGATGAACGCCCATCCAACAGTTCTACGGTCGAGTTCGACGATATCTACCACGCGCTTCAGCAGGCTGAAGCAACGTGGCGACTGTGGCTGGAGTACAGTGAAAATAGACTCGCCGGCTCTACCCCGAACTGTGATCACTTCCATGCTGGACCCCATGTCGATATAAAAGTGGAGAAGACCGGAGATGGGGCGGGCGCAGGCGGCTGGCGCGACAAACACTCAATACGATTACCAACAGCACACCCTGCTAAGTGGGCTCCCGCGCACATGGGAGTGCCATAAAGGCCACATTAAGAAGGAGCCATTGAGCTTGACTCTCAACCCGCAGTGAGCCACTCGACTAAACAAGACACACACTGGAGTGACTGTGGTGTCTTAGAAGACGACTCGATCGCTGTCCCATGTTCACATGTTCGCTTGTATTTTGGTGTACAAGTTATTCCTTCAGTTGCCGACCCTTCAAACCACGGCTTTATACGCATAGTGATTGCTTCAAATGCATCAAATTGTTTTTATTGAGGGTCGACCTTACTATCTCCCTCACCGCCAGCAACAGGCCGCCGCCTAGCTGATCGGTCGCCCATCCAACGTAATGCTCGACAAGACAACGAGCCCGTTGCGCAGTGGTTAAAGAATTGAACTTCTAACTACCAAGGTCGTGGGTTCGAGCCTCGGGGATCGCTACCCCTGGGGTTTAGTATGACTGTATAATGATGGCCAATAAGCCATGAAACATTAACAAGCCATTGGGATATGCAATCACTGTGTAGTCATGGAAGAAGCCTGGAGCTGTAATTACGTCAAACCAGAGCCTTCGTAGATTCAATATTCGTGTTCCGGTGATAGCCTGTGGCACGTGGTCACCTTCTAGGTCTGCCTTTTACACCCAAGTTTCTCAATTAAAGTAGAACCTAAGTAAAAGAGTTTGATCCAATTCGGTGCCGAGCTCTCTGTGTGAAAGGCCTGTCTTCTGCTAGCCAAGCAAACTGCATCAGTTCACTGATTGGCTACAAGTAATCAAGGATCCACGCCCTGGGAGCAAGACTCAACAGCGGACACAGGAACACACACAGGCACTGCCAACTCGTCAACTGAGCGGAAGCTCGTCAAGTGAAACAAATTGCCTGCTAGTGGCTCACTCGTTACCTGAAATGCTCGTAGCTGGGGGCCGCTCGTCATCCGAGGTTCCACTGTATGCAGACTTTTGACAGTTGCTGTTTATATAAACCTCTCATGCTTTGCTTATTTCTCGCATGTTAAGAGGACATTATCTTTAAGTTCACAACCAGAATTTCACAAAAAGTATTTCAGCAAATAAGTTGAGCATGCCTGAATTCAATTGAGCAACTTACGCTGGAGCGGATTATTCAGACGAAACACGTGATTTTTGCCTAAAATGACTCTTGCGCCAGACTGGACCATCTGTCGTTCTGTGATACGAGATCCATTGACGTAGCACTCCGCGTCACCGATTGGCTCCATGAACACCGTACCTAAATGATATGAAAGAGAGATTAGATGTGAAATTGCACGAAGGTCACTGATGCCCCCGCAGACCACTGTTTCAAGCAACTAACACTTCCTTTGAGTCGAACAGCACAGCAACAACTCAGTGGAAATTTGGAATTAGCGAAAATTCCCATTGAAAATATCAGAAAATAACCAGGTGAACATACGTTTGTTTTCGACAAATTCTCGTCAAGTCTTCGAATTTATACGATAATTAACTAATTCAGTACGATGTTTGACGCAAAGGGTTAAAGGATCTGCTCGACTTATAGCATCGAAGAGGAGCTTACGATTTTTGAAGGCGTGCTTCGACAAAATGGTTATCCTGGTCGGTTTATCACTAAGAACATGGCTGAAAGACCGTAAAAGCGCTCAGTGTTAACAGCAGAGAAGAAGCGAATATTCATCAGGGCTCCATTTCAGGGGGACGGACCAAACGAACTTTGAAGGAGGCTCCTGAGTCAATCTATAACAACTACCTTTCCACCAGCCAGCGCACATGTACTGTTCTTGACTACTCCCCCTATACGGGGAGATCAAGGCCAAACTGCCAGCCCAGACGTCCTCTATGTGCATATATTCATTCATAACTTCATGTGGGGCAGGATTTATTGGTCGCGCGAGCCGCTGTTTGTCCAAAAGCGTACGAGAACACATTCCAGCATGGTAAGGGAGGGGCCA